TTGCCTATGGGGGTGTGTCAGAACATATAGCTTACTTGTTTGTGTAGGCTATAGTGGGGTATCCCATAGGGGGTACAACACAATTAGGGTTTCCTATTTGTACTCACTTCGTTCATACTCATTTCATTCTCGTTCAATTCTTCTCAGATTGGAACCAAGAACACCTACATAAAGAACGATGGAAAAACTTCGCCAGGAAAGATGCTTGTTTTTGACGCAGCGCGGTCTGTCGCCGAGATGATCATGTGGCCAGAGTCCACAGGATCTAGTCGATGCGACGTGCGAGCATTGAACGAGTTCTTGATGGGATTCTCCATTGGAGATGTCTATCAAGTTCGTCGTGTCAATGCTTCGCGCAAACAACCTGGCTGGTAAGTTCAGTCTGAACTTGAACTTGAGCATATGCATGAGTACATGTAAATACTCATATCAATATATGCTACTATGGACAGGACTCTTATTGGAGGCCTTGACGTGCAACTGACGTGGATACATCGTTATTCATACATGGTGAAAGATGATGAGGGCCTGCAGCTGACTTTGGGAGACGTGCCCACTGCACCGCTCAAGAACTGCTTCGAGACGAACGACGATTCCAGGGTAAGTCTTAAAAATTTTGGTGCAAAGTTTGGTCTATGGAAAGATGACTAAGAATGAGGAAGAGAGGAAGGATAAAAAGAGCGTCGTTTGACGTATCCCCTATGATGTAACTCACTAAAGCACATCTAACTTTATGTGTGGTTCTCGTTAAAGTGATAAGTGCGTTGTTGTATTCATGTTTGTGTTGATCATGCTTTTATTCTCAATTATCTTTTCATAATTTTTGTAATCTTCTTAATGACATTTTGCTCTTCTGTATTACCAGATCCCTTGCGTTTCTGTCAGACTCAAAGCCACAACATACGAAGAGCCAAGTGGATTGCCCAAGCTTACAGCGATCATCCAGGATTCCTCCCTTGAGAGTGTCCTGGTATCGCTGGGGGACGCTGCCACGCGGATCCACCAGTGCTGTAAGACATACCTGGATCAACACTCAAATGCTACAGACGTGCCTGTCTACATTAGCAATGTCTATCTAAAGTCGGGTTTGTTCACGACAACGATGCTTCCGGATGTTGCCATTCTTGACACTCGACGAGCGTCGGAGATCACAGATGCCCCCGACACGGCGGAACCGCAAGACGTCGGGCTCGTGTCGCTGTAAGTGAACATAGCATGCGCATTTGAACATTTTCTAAGTGAGACGCTCGAAAGTAACTCTTCCGTTTCTCGTGTTCAGGATGAGTAATGTGGACACAGTTGTAATGACAACTAGGAAAGAGAAGGTAGCGTCTCTCGTAGCTGAGATCAAGGATCCTTTGCACACCTCGCGCACGGTGTGCAAGGTGTCAGAATCCCAACCACTAGACCATTGGGATAAAAGGGCTTGTTTCAGTAGCGGGTCAGTGCGCCCATAACCCCCCAGGCGAACATGCCTGTAACCCTCTCCAGGATCGATCGGGGATCTCACAGTGTAGCTCTACTGACACCCCCCCACACTGGGAGGCCCAGGACTAAGCACAGCGGCACCGGCCTATATGTGCATACACCGGGAATCGAACCCGAGACCGCTCTGATACCATGTCAGAATCCCAACCACTAGACCATTGGGATAAAAGGGCTTGTTTCAGTAGCGGGTCAGTGCGCCCATAACCCCCCAGGCGAACATGCCTGTAACCCTCTCCAGGATCGATCGGGGATCTCACAGTGTAGCTCTACTGACACAAGGGTGGATCGGAGGGTTTTTGTCCACTGGCAGTTTTCAGATCCTGTGCCAGACGCGAGCATTCGTGCTCCAGGCATGGATCCGCTTCGATCACCCGGATCGAAAACACGACGGTGACACTTGTCGTACACGAGAACAGTAAGTAAGGTACTTGTATGCTTTTGTGTACAGTGTTAGACGTTTTGTCAATGCATTAACTATTGTTGTTTTGCTCAAAAATTTCAGCGTCATTCAAGAACCAAGCCTACGGCTTGGTGGTTCAACCAAGCCTCTTGACAAAAGTAATCCCACATCTCCAAATGTCTACATTTCTTTCCTTGCCCTCGGATGAGCGCCAAACTCTACTAGGTGCTCTTCAAGGTCGCTGGCTCGTTAAGGTACGAGTTTATATTCTTTAGATTTAGTCACTGTTGATGAATATTACATTTTTAAATCATTTATACTCTTTCCCCCCTTCAGGTTCACTTTGGACTTGAGGGGGGGCGCATCTACAAGACCATTGTTGACATCTCGAGCGTCCCGAAGTCAAACGTCGACACTGTCAACTTTGACACGGCGAGCTCCCAGCCATCGTCCACACCTACAAAGAGGAGGTTTGACGTGCGTGGAATAATAATATTCACTTGGTGTTTTGCTTTGCTAAACAATCTTTATGTCATGTAACTATTAATGTTGTTCCATTGATTTTTTTGTTTCAATTTTCAAATTCTTGCAGCAACGGTGAAGACCGAGACGCGTGAAGTTGGTTAAGAATCATTTGTTTTTTCTCTGGGTCTTTTTGAAACAATCTAGTTAAAGAAATGTGGGTGGGAGATAAACTAGACAATGCCATATGGATTTTGCTTTTGGGGTCGTTCTATTCGTCGACTGCAAATGATTGCGTGACTAATTATCTTTGTGTGAGTAAGTATGTTTGGTTATGCGGATATAAGTGTGTATGTATATGTATGTACCGGTATGTGTGTATGTATGAATATACATATGTATGTATGCGTGTATTTGCGTGCGTATGCGTGTGTAAATTCAACCATTACAATAACAATGCATGTCTGTGATTTTTAAAAAGAAAGCTCAACTCTATCATTTCACAAAAGGTTCATTGGTGCACTCAGTGACTCGTGTGCGACCACTTCGAACTGGATTTGATAGAGTTGACTTTTTTTTTAGAATTCACAGATTGTGTTGTTTCATGTGACAGTTGATTATTCAAAAGTTAAGCTATTGACCTCCCCCCCATGCTAGGCAGGGGATGGCGGTAGCTTAGTTTTTGGGTTGTTAACTGTCACACATATTACGGTATCGTGTGCATGTGCATCATTCATGATATATCACATTAAGCATTATGCATTGTATAACATCATTTATGCATTATGCATGCATCTATTTATTATTGTCACAACATCATCTACCGTAACAATAAACATATAAACCAAACAGTACAACAAAGGTGCACAAAACAGCTGCAAAAAAAAAACATATGGTTTAGTGCACTGATAACAGTACTGTTTTTAAAAGTGCTCAACATGCATACAGTATGGACAGGATACGATTGTAGTTTACAAATTTTATTTTAATTATTTATAAAAAATATAAATATGAAAATAAAATTTGGCAAAATCGATTATAAAGGGTTGCTTCGCAACCCAAAAAAATCTGAGCCCGCAATTACTGAAGCGTTGGTTTATTGTTCTCCCCTGCCACCCACGCCTTGCCTTCCCACTTCCCCATCTGCCCGCAACTCGCGGTCTACTAAGTTAGCGCGTGCAGTTCTTGTGCAACTGATTAGTATGCGTTCGCGACTTGTCCTGATTTGACGTTCCGTTTCCACGCACGTGTTGGTGCTCCGTTCATTGGAGATGGATCTCCGTGTTAAGAGCCGTCTCGTTATAAGATATGGCGGTGCGAGGAGTGTGGCAGCTCCGACGGCTTGTCGTCAACCATTGCGACTTCTCTGGCAGTAGCCGCGGCGCGAGGTAGGTCTTAAATTGGCGACGTCTTATTCGGAGAAGAAAGCGAGATGCGCATCAGGTAGTAGTGAACATACTTTCTATTTAGTCGGAACCAGGTATGATCGAGAGTTTTGTCTGAATGCAGTTTCGGATCCGCCCTTCTCTCGAGTGATCAGAGTGCCGCATCGCTGCTTGAATCCTTCCTAAAGGCCCTGAGCCCCCCGAGGTGCCCCGAAGCAAGCATTCTCGCGAATTATGTGAGTGCGCCGCGCCGTCCCTCGCTGCTTTGGGTGCGCCGTTTCTCGGTTGATTGGAGTGTCTCTCTATGGAGAGTCTTGAGCCCTCCATAGAACCGCTCGAGATTCGGGAACCGAATCGGTGACTGCATCGGTGACTGCATCGGTGACTGCAGTCACTCGCAAGCGCCGCGTACGACGACTTTTGACGCGCGTCGATCAAATACCCACGCGTGTGCGTGTAAGCACACACAACGATTGATCTATCGGCGGCCCTCGTGTGGTTGAGGCCTCTCGAATGGCGAGGCGAGGCCCCTCGGGTGGCGAGGCCCCTCGGGTGGCGAGGCCCCTCGGGTGGCGAGGCCCCTCGGTGTTAGAATCCCTCTTCTCTTGTAACCTGCATATATGCTATAGGTTAGGCTAGAGTTAAGCACCCAAACTTAGTTTGGGTGTACAAATAGGGGTAACCCAGTTTGTAGGTTGGAACCCAACCTTGGTCCAATTATTGGACCCCAAAAGGTTGGGTTGGGTAGAATTATTGGCCCCCTCCAATAATGTTGGCCCAACCCCAACTTGGCCAACATTATTGGACCCCACCAATAATCTCCCAACCCAACCTCTTGGTTGGGGTCCAATAATGGCACCTTAGGCTAGCATCCAACCCCATTACTATGTATACCCCCCTTGTTTCTCTATCATATCATAAAACAAAACTTCTTTTCAACCTCTCTTCTCACATGGTATAGAGCTGTCATTCCTAGGCCTACTCCTCTCTCAAAAAAAAAAAAAAAAAGCCCACCCGGCCGCCGCAACCCCCGGCCTCCTCCCTCATTTTTTTTCCTCTCGGCTATCCCGCCGCCTTCCTCCCCCCTGTAGCGCCCTTTTTTTCTCCGCAGCTCCACGGCCTCCCAAGCCGCTGCAGCCCGCGCCACTCTCTTCCGCGGCCTCGACGCCGCCTCCGCGCCAGCGCCGCTGCGGCCTCACCAGCCGCTGTCGCCCACGCTCTTCCCCTCCGCGGCCTCGACGCCGCCTCCGCGCCTCCCCGCGGCCTCACCAGCCGCCGCCCGCGCCACTCCGCGGCCTCGATGTCGCCTTCGCGCCAGCGCCGCCGCGGCCTCGCCAGCCGCCGCTACCCGCGCCCTCCCCCTCCGCGGCCTCTGCGCCTCGCCGCGGCCTCGCCAGCCGCCGCCCGCGCCACTCCGCGGCCTCGACGCCGCCTCCGCGCCAGCGTCGCCGCGGCCTCGCCAGCCGCCGCCACCCGCGCCCTTCCCCTCCGCGGCCTCGACGCCGCCTCCGCGCCTCGCCGCGGCCTCGCCAGCCGCCGCCCGCGCCACTCCGCAGCCTCGCCGCCGCCTCTGCGCCAGCGCCGCCGCGGCCTCGCCAGCCGCCGCAGCCCGCGCCCTTCCCCTCCGCGGCCTCGCCGCCGCCTTTGCGCCTCGCCACGGCCTCGCCAGCCGCCGCCCGCGCCACTCCGCGGCCTCGCCGCCGCCTCCGCGCCAGCGCCGCCGCGGCCTCGCCAGCCGCCGCCGCCCGCGCCCTTCCCCTCCGCGGCCTCGACCCCGCCTCCGCGCCTCGCCGCGGCCTCGCCAGCCGCCGCCCGCGCCACTCCGCGGCCTCGCCGCCGCCTCCGCGCCAGTGCCGCCGCGGCCTCGCCAGCCGCCGCCGCCCGCGCCCTTCCCCTCCGCGGCCTCGACGCCGCCTCCGCGCCTCGCCGCGGCCTCGCCAGCCGCTGCCCGCGCCACTCCGCGGCCTCGCCGCCGCCTCCGCGGCAGCGCCGCCGCGGCCTCGCCAGCCGCCGCCGCCCACGCCCTTCCCCTCCGCGGCCTCGACGCCGCCTCCGCGCCTCGCCGCGGCCTCGCCAGCCGTCGCCCGCGCCACTCCGCGGCCTCGACGCCGCCTCCGCGCCAGCGTTGCCGCGGCCTCGCCAGCCGTTGCTGACAGCGCCCTCCCCCTCCGCGGCCTTGACGCCACCTCCACGCCAGCGCCCCGCGGCCGTCCATCATGGCTCACGCCACACCCTCCCCCCTCCCTCCTCCTATTGATACCTCCTCTATCGATAAGCTGCAGCTCGCCGCGGACAAATCCGCCATCAACTGGCACTCCTTCATCGGCAGCATTCGTCGAGTTCTCTTCGATGCATGGGTTCCCCCCTACCGCGTCCTTGACGTCATCCTCCGCCGTCCCCATGCTCTCCCCCCCACCGCTCCTGACCACCCCGGCGAGACCCCTCCTCTCCCTCCATCTCCTGGCGATCCTCCTCGTGAACCCGACCTCCAACTCACCGTCGACCAAGCCACCGCTGATGCAGACTTCATCTTACGACGCCGTGCATACCTTATCCGCAAAGATGAGTACGATGCAGCAGTTGAAGCCTATGACCAGGCAGTTGCTGGCCGCAATGCTCATCTTGCTGTCGTCGCCAAATACAACGACGACTTGGCTACCTTTACCCCAAACCTCATCGCCTAGACAGCTGCCGACACCCGTGCTTGCACCGTTCTCCTCGGTGCTCTCCCTGACTCCCTTATGCGCCGCTTCCAGGCTCGGGAACTCCGTGCCTCGGTCATTTGGGCCGAACTCCATGCCATGTTCGAACGCCGCGACATCAGCTCGGTTGGCATCCTCTTTCAAGAGTACTTTTCAATCACCCTCGCTGCATGTGACGGAGCGGTCGACTATGTCGGACGTATGCGAGAAGTAGCTGATCGCCTCGAAGCCCGCCAGGCTGGCCTCTCCGAACCCCTCCAAATCCATCGCCTCCTGTTTAACCTCACCCCAGACTATGAATCACGCCTTCACGCCTTTACCGAAGCCAATCCCATGGCCGATCTCGCCTCCGTTGAGCAGTGGATCATAGACACCGAAGTCAAACTTCGCACCCCCATTGTCAACCTCGCCTCCTCCCAACCCTCCTCCTCCTCCCTCAACGCTACCCAGCCCCGCAAGCAGGCTCGGAACAACGGCAAAGGGGGAGGTGGGGGCAAGGGAGGTGGCGGTCAGGGCAACGGCAGCACAAACAGCCGTGGCGACACCACTGGGGATGAGCATGGCACCACTAATTCGGGCGGAGCCTCTGCAGGCCGCGGAAGTCTTCCTGGCACTCTTCCGCCCTGCACCTATGTCCGTCGCTATGGTCCCCGGGCTGGAACACCCTGCGGGCAGACAAACCATCCCCCTAGCACTTGCTTCAAGGCTCTCGATGATGCCTGGTACGCGCGGGGCAATGTTGGCACTCCTCCCAAGTGGGGAACGATCTCCCCACGTCCCTCCCTTGCCGACATCCAAACCAACCCCGCTTACCTCCCTGCCCACCTCCGCCTCCTTGCTCCCCCCACACCGCTCCTCAATCTCCAATAGCAGCACCTCCTGCAGCAGCACCAGCAGCAACAGCAGCAGCAACAGCTGTTTCATCAGCAGCCACAGCAGCAGCAGCAGCCGCAGCCCCAGCCGCACCCATGGGGAACTGGACTCCTACCCCAGTGGGGACCCAGCCCTCCTCCTTGGCAGCAGCAGCAGCTGAATTTTGGCACAGCTGCCATAGCCGCTCAAGCCTCACCGTCCCCCCTTTGGGGTGCTCCACCCCCTAGTAGCACTGCCCCTCCTCTTACCCAGGAGAGCTTTCTTGGCAACATTGCTATCTCACCCTCACTTCCTTCCATGTACCCATCCACCGTTAATAAAACTACTTTCCAGTACTCCGTCTCTTCCTCCTCCTCACCCACTCTCGACTTTGTCCTCGATAGTGGGGCCACTGAGACCGCTCTCAAGGATGCTGGTACACTCACACCCCTCTCTCCTCCCACGCAAGTTCACGGCGCTGACAGCAGCTTTACCATCCCATGCACACACCTCTCCACTCTTCCTTGCACACTCTTCCCCTCTGGTAAGGTAACTGGTCTCCACATCCCCACCCTCCGAAACAACCTCCTCTCCCACCGTGAAATCCAAACTGCAGGTATCACTGCCGTCGATCCAGGTAATGCCACCTACTGTGACCTCTACCACACCGCCACTGGTCGCTTCCTTCTACGCATTCCCCTCTGCCCCCGCACTCGCCTCTACACTCTCCGCACCCCTTGGCCATCCTTCTGCCATGTCACCACTCGTGCTGGCACTTCCACTAACCCTCCCCATCCCCCTACCTCACCTCCACGCCACCAGCAGGGGCCGCAGCAGCAGCAGCAAGGGCCGCAGCAGCAGCAACAGCAGTAGCCGCCGCCGCAGAGGCAGCAGCAGGGGCCGCAGCAGCAGCAGCAGCAGCAGCCGCCACAGCAGGGGCAGCCACAGCAGCAGCAGCAGCAGCAGCAGCCGCCGCAGAGGCAGCAGCAAGGGCCGCAGCAGCAGCAGTAGTGGCAGCCGCAACAGCAGCAGCAGCAGTCACCTCCCCCTCTCTCACTCACTCCAACCCCCTCCACCTCCAATCATCTCTCCCACCCCGCTGTGCTGCTCCACCACCGTCTCGGCCACCCCAATTTCGCCGCTCTCCGCACTGCCATCACCTCTCGCCTCCTTCACGGCCTCCCTCCTACTCTCCCCCCCCTCCCTTCCTCTCCAGCCCCTCCATGCCCCTCGTGCATCCCCGGCAAACTCAAACAGTCCCCCCACCACAGCCACCCATCCTTGACTCCAGCTCCAATTGACCTCGTCCATATGGACCTCTGGGGACCCTCCCCCACTCGTTCTCGTCAGGGCCATCGCTACATGCTGGTCCTCGTAGACAACCACAGCCGCTACTCCTCCATTTTCCTCCTCCACACGAAAGACCAGGCGCCGACCATGATCGTCAACTGGGCCGAGCAATGCCGCGCCCACTTCAAGCGTCCCATCGGCCGCCTACACTCTGACGGGGGAGGCGAATTCCTCAATCGCACTCTCTCCCATTACTGCACCACCCATGGCATCCAACAGACTCACACCCTCCCCCACTCCCCGCAGCAGAATGGCGTCGCAGAAAGCCGGATTCGCGAAATCACCAAGATCGCCCGCTGTCTCCTCGCTCACGCCTCAACCCCCCCTTCCCTCTGGGGCTATGCTTTGCTCCATGCTGCCCTCCTCAACCTTCACTCCCATCCCCTACATACCACCACCACCCCCACGGAGCTTTGTTCGGGCACCAAACCTGACGCCGCTGGTCTCCGTGTCTGGGGTTGCAAGGCATATGTCCTTATCCCTCCACCTGATCGCACCCACGGCAAGCTCGCTTCTCGTGCCCTCGAGTGTGTCTACCTCGGGCACAACCGCGACTCGCCTGGCTACCTCTTCCTTCACCCTCTCTCTGGACGCCTTATCCGCAGCATTGACGTCGTCTTTAACGAAACTACCCCCTATTACTCCTCTTCACCGCCAGACCCCCTCCCTCCTCCTTCACGTCCTCTCACTTGGACCGACACTGTGCTCCCTCCCCTCCTCCCTCCTGCACCCCTTCTCCCACCTCTCCCTACTCCGCTTCCGCCACCCTCATCTGCCGACATCTACGATCCCACTGCTCCCGCATCCCCTGCACACTCCGCAGCCCCCCCTCCCTCCTCTCCCCCCCCTCTCCTTCTCCTCCGTCCCAGCAGCAGGGGCAGCAGCCGCAGCAGCAGCAGCATGGGCAGCAGCAGTCGCCGCAGCAGCAGCAGCAGCAGCAGCAGCAGCAGCAGCAGCAGCAGCAGCAGCAGGGGCAGCAGCAGCAGCAGCAGCAGCAGCAGCAGCAGCAGCAGGGGCAGCAGCATTGGGAGGAGCAGCAGCCGCAGCAGCAGCAGCAGGGGTTCCAGCAGCACCAGCAGCAGCAACGGCAGAGGGCAATTGCCCGCTCCTCACCCTTCCTCCTCCCTCGCATGCACACCCGCTCCCTCGATCCCATCCTTGGCACACCGCCGCCTCCCTCCCTCAACCTGCTCGAGGATTCCCATGAGGAGTTCACCATGGTCCAGCGCCACACTCCCTCTCTCACCACGCTCTACCCTGGCCTCCTCGGCGCTCTAATCCTTAGCGCGATCTCCGCTCCCACCATCTTCGTCCCCTCCACCTTCCAGGAGGCTATCACCTGCCCTGACGCTGACAAGTGGATAGCCGCCATCTTCCTGGAATGTGAGGCATTTATCCGCAACGACTCCTTCATTGACGTTCCCCTCCCCCCTGACGCCAACCTTGTCGAGGGCAAGTGGATCTTTCGAGTCAAGCAGCTGCCGGGAGAAGAACCAGTCTACAAAGCCCGCTACGTTGCCAAGGGGTTCACTCAGACCTGGGCTGAAGACTTCTGGTTCACATTTGCCCCCACTGTCAAGCAGGCCACCCTACGTACCCTCATGGATATTGGTGCGCGTGATGACATGGAGATTGACTCCATGGACGTCTCCAACGCGTTCCTGCAAGGCGAACTGCACGAGCGCATCTTCCTCCGTTGGCCTCCCGGGTTTCATGTTGCTTTCCCTGACAACACCGTCTGGCAACTTCGACGACCTGTTTATGGTCTGAAGCAGGCACCACGAGAATGGCATGCGAAGCTGTCTGCCACTCTCCAGTCCCTTGCTTTCTCCGCCTCCCACTCCGATGCCAGCCTCTTCATCCGCTCTTCCCCCCGTCGCTTCTTCATCTCGGTCTACGTTGACGACATAATCCTGCTCGCCGACACCAAGGCCGACATGGAGCAAGTCAAGCGGTCACTTCAGGAACGTCTCAAGTGCAAGGACCTTGGTCCGCTGCAGAACTACCTCGGCATGGCTATCACTCGTGATCGATCCGCCCGCACCATCACCCTCTCCCAGTCCCACTACATCAGCCAGGTCCTGGAGAAGTTCGAGATGGCGCAGGCCAAACCGGTCTCCACCCCCCTCCCCTTCGGTCACCAACTCGCACCACCCACCTCCCCCTCCCCCTCCTCCCGGCCCTATGCCGAGCTTGTTGGGTCGCTGATGTACACAATGATGTGCACTCGTCCCGACCTCGCCTACCCCATCAGCGTCATTGCTCGGTTCGTCGGCTCCGGCCGCCACACTGAAGAACACTGGGCTGCCGCCAAGCGGGTCCTCCGCTATCTCCGTGGCACCAAGGATCACGCCCTCACCCTGGGTGGATCCTCCCCTCCCCTTCTCTCTGGTTTCAGCGATTCATCTTGGGCGGACTCCCAGCCGGACCGCCGCTCCTCGCAAGGCTATGGCTTCACACTCGGCAGCGGGCTTATCAGCTGGCGTTCTACTCGCTCCTCTGCCATTGCCCTCTCCTCCTGCGAAGCTGAACTCTATGCTGGCACCATGGCCGTGCAAGAGTCCCGCTGGCTCTGCTTTCTTCTGGCAGAGCTTGGAGCACCCCAGCGCTGTCCTACGCTCTGGTGCAACAACGCTAGCACCATCCATCTCACCCAGGACCCCATCTTCCATGGTCGCTCCAAGCACATTGAGCTCCGCTATTTCTTCATCCGCGACCTTGTCCACCAGAACCTCATTGCCGTTCGCAAGATCGCTGCTGCAGCCAACTTGGCTGATATCTTTACCAAAGCCCTTCTTCGCCCTGCGCACTCTGCTCTTCTCCGCCTCATCGGCCTCGCTCCCCCAGGCGCGCCTTGATTCAGGGGTTGCTTCCCTCAAGCCTTTCCGCATCTCTGCCGGTTAAGGTGTTGTGTTAGAATCCCTCTTCTCTTGTAACCTGCATATATGCTATAGGTTAGGCTAGAGTTAAGCACCCAAACTTAGTTTGGGTGTACAAACAGGGGTAACCCAGTTTATAGGTTGGAACCCAACCTTGGTCCAATTATTGGACCCCAAAAGGTTGGGTTGGGTAGAATTATTGGCCCCCTCCAATAATGTTGGCCCAACCCCAACTTGGCCAACATTATTGGACCCCACCAATAATCTCCCAACCCAACCTCTTGGTTGGGGTCCAATAATGGCACCTTAGGCTAGCATCCAACCCCATTACTATGTATACCCCCCTTGTTTCTCTATCATATCATAAAACAAAACTTCTTTTCAACCTCTCTTCTTACACTCGGGTGGCGAGGCCCCTCGGGTGGCGAGGCCCCTCGGGTGGCGAGGCCCCTCGGGTGGCGAGGCCCCTCGCTGGGCTTC